TTTAACTAAGGTTGTAATCTTGCCAAGTGAGTACGAACAATTGATGAGGGCAGAGGAAGTTAGGGTAAAAGGAAAGGAGTGATTGTAATAACTGATGATAGAATTTATGCTGGGCAAGGAAGGCAGACATCATGGGGATGAAGGACAGAGACAATTGGTAGATCATCAGACTGTAGGTCCTCCTGCAGGGGTTGAGATTCTGGGTGTAGTGTAGTGTAAGAGAGAGTGAGCTGGAAAGTGGAAGAGTCATCCAAGAGTAGGGTGCGTGAAATCAAGCTTATGGAGGGTTTGTGGTTATTGGTAGTGACAGAGACCAGGCTAGCTCTCATGGGAGTGAGTGGCCAAGATGAGGAGTTCAAAGAACTCTAGGCCAAGGTGTTGGAAGGATCTTTGAAGGCCAGTGAAGAAGGATTATCTAATCAGTAGAAAGTGTGTATTTGCAGACTTAGCACAAAGTTGAGCTAAATATTTAACAGCATATGATGACTGTTCTCTAGAAGCTTAAAGATTGTGATGTTTAATTGTAGGACAGAGTAAAGACTCAGTTGTGTATGTTTTATACAACATGCTGAAACTAAACTGAATGAATTATATAAATATCTCTTTATAATTTAGTAAGAAGTCATTGACACGTATCTGTAAATAAAAGCAATCCTTATTCCACAAAAGAATCATTCTTCATAATTATAGTTCCATCTTAGTTTCACCATTACAAACAAAAAGATGAATCAGGTATGGTGGCACACGCCTATAATCCCTGCTACTTGGGAGACTGAGACGGGAGAATCACTCAAATCCAGGAGTTCGAGGCTAGCCTGGACCACGTGGTGGGACCCTGTCTCTTAAAAACACCAAAAAAATTAAGATCCCCTCCCAGCTGTTTGTATGGAAATTTGTTAAAAAAAAATCTAAAAAAAAAATCAAGAGAGCAAACTAATAACAGTCATATGAAACTTCAGAAACTTTCTTAACCAACTCCAGAGATTCCATTTCATCTCTTCCCCATGTCTTTGGCAGGTGAATGCCTGCTGCATGAGTAGGCTCTTTGCTGTAGCACGTCTGCCTCCACCATCTGAATAGCATACTTACCATGAATCATTTGTGTTTGTTCTTGAACTTGTTTAGGCCACTGGACTTGTTATTATAATTATGTATGTTAATTAAAATATGATATACACCAATGAAATGTGAAGGAAGAGAGATGTTTTTCTGTGACCTAAGTTAGGTGTTTTGGAAAGATTCAGGAAGGACAGATTGCTTCATATATATATATCTCCTTATTCCACAAAAGAATCAGACTCATTCTTCATAATTATAGTTCCATCTCAATTTCACCATTAAAAACAAGATGAATCATATATATATATATATATATATATATATATATATATGTGTGTGTATGTATATATGTCAAACTAGGTGGGAATAAGGGAGCTGTAAAGTATTTGGGGGACGGTTATAATCTAGAAGGCTTTGGCACTGATAGTGTTTTACAAGTTCTTGCTCTTCATTAAAAAATGAAAACTGTAAGTGGTAGATGCATTTAGGTGTGATTTGCTTAGGAACTCCAGTCAGCTAAACTAGAAAAGAAAAAGCTGTGGTTCTGCATCAGAAATCAGTGTGTTCATGTACATTTGTTTGTTTTAAGTTAAAACAATGTTTTGAGTATGTATGTATCATTTTTAATGATTTCCCCCTTAACTGACTTTTTCCACTGACTATCAATCCAGATGAGAAGGCACTTATTTATGATATTTAATTTAGTAGCCAAATTATATTTGGTATTTAAGGGGTTTTTTTTGTTCGTTTGTGTGTTTTAAAAATTGTGCTTGTTTTATTTATCAAGTCCCATCTTATTATTCCAAAAAAATTTTCAGGTAGCATCTGGATAGTAGATTTAATCAACAGATCTTTTAAGCTAAAAATTTTATAAATAAAGCCATTGAAATTATTTTTTTTCTCAGCTCATTTTGTATTTAAAATATTTTACTAGCTGCATGTAGTAGCTCATGCCTATAATCCAAGCACTTTGGGAGGCCAAGGTAGGAGGATCGCTTGAGGCCATGAGTTTGAGAGCAGCCTGGGCAATATAGCGAGACTCTGTCTCTACAAAAAAATTTTAAAAAATTTGTGGGGAACATGGCACATGCCTGGAGTTTCAGCTACTCAGGAGTCTGAGGCAGGAGGATCACTTGACCCCAGGAGGTCAATAATTGAACTCACATCAAAGGGTGGTTGTGAGAATTAAATGAGACAGTCCATTTAAATGCTTAATACAGTACCTGGCACATCGTAGGCATTCATTAAATGTTAGATATAATTTTCTTAATCAGTACCATGTGTCATTGTATAATAAGTCTCTAACAAAGGTACTCAATATTTTTTGACTTAATATAGGCTTAAGTTGTAATTTCTATAAAATGTAGGCTATTAAGGTTACTTGTCAGAAGTGTACATCGTATTCTTCCTATGGAAAATCAATTTTGACAGTTCTTACTGATTTGCAACTTGTTTTCTCTTAGAATTTCTTGTCTTTTGATTGTGTACAATATATATATAACACTATTAGAGTCACCTCATTTCTCAGAAACTTCTGTAATATCTTCATTATTGAATTGAGTGGATAGGGATATTACTAATTCCCTTTACTTTTAATTTAACATATCTGTAACATTGGTGGAAAGGAGAAAAATGTAGTACTATTGGTGGAAAGGACTATTGGTGAGAAAGCCCTCAAAGACTGATTTAACTCCAGTGACCCACTTCTGTTCTTACATAGGTGATCCTGAACCAGTTCCTGCACCTTGTTGTTGATCAGATAGTACTAGATACACTCAGCTTGGGTTCACACAGAGAAAAACAAATGTAACCTTTGCACATGTACAAAAGTTTAAAGGTTGTAGTAAACACCATTAAGATCTACGTAGCCTGATTGTTAACCTAACAAGCATGAGACCATCAGAAGACTTGGGCTCTGGCATATCTGAAGGGTGTTGGCCAATCTAAGAAATCCACCTAGTTCCAAAAGCTGTTTATTGACGTTGTCATCGTAGAGATAAGAGATGGTTGCATACACAATCTGGATTTATGCTGTCCACGTTTTTGTTTGTTTGTTTGAGACGGAGTTTTGCTCTTATTGCCCAGGCAGGAGTGCAATGGCGCAATCTCAGCTCACCACAACCTCCGCCTCCTGAGTTCAAGCGATGCTTCTACAGGCATGTGCCACCACGCCTGGATAATTTTGTAGTTTTTGTAGAGATGGGGTTTCTCCATGATGGTCAGGCTGGTCTTGAACTCCAGACCTCAGATGATCCACCTGCCTCGGCCTCCCAAAGTGCTGGGATTACAGGCATGAGCCACTGCACCGGCCATTGTTCACCTTTTATGTAAAATAAAGTATATTTATTGTGCCAAATGTAGTAAATGAAGAGATTAGGGAACTGGCATGTTTCAGAAGGATAATATAGGAAGAAAATTGCCAATTTTCTTTCAGGTAGTTGGAAAATATTTGTAGAAAAGGTAATATTCCAAGAGAAGGAAGAAATGACCAAGATGGCTTAGACTAAGATAATTATTCCAGGCTTGGAACATCTCCTGAGAGGCAGGACGGGGATGACTAAATGAAACAGGTTTGTGTGGGCTTGCCTGCTAAATGGTGGATGGATGTCAGTTGAACAGATTCGTTTTGAGTGCAACTCTATACCTGGGCTGAAGGTGCAACAACAAGACTCGGTCCAAGATCTCACTCATTACTTCCTTACATAACAGGGGAGATGAGAATTATCTGTTAATGTTAACACACTATGCTAGGTGCTTAATTAATGGTGTGAACAAAGTACTTTGGAAGGACAGAGAACTGAATGGTTAATTATGCATCAGTGGGAAAGAGTTCATAGATGAGGTTAAACAAAGTAGGAAGAGTGGGAAGAGTGTCTTCCGGAAGGAGGACAGGGCTTTCTAAGCCGGGAATGGTGTGAACAGCAGCACAGAGGATGGGTGTACATTTGATGCTGGGGGTGCTGTATGGGACAGGAGCAGGGAATGAGACTCAAGGAAATGAAAAGAATGTGGATAAAGCACCCAGCCTGGAGTTCATCATAACAGAGATTCCTCTAGTTGTTCAGAACATGGTTTGGAGAGAAAACCACTGCAAACTTCAGGAGCTCCTGGTGACTTTTTTGGTTATCTTGGCTACTGAGCAGTGAATGGGTATAGAGAGGAGAGGATCAATGGAAGAGGTGATTCCAAAAGGATTTGGCAGCTGTTTGGATGAGGGTCATGGGGAAGAGAAAGGAGCCCCATTTTATTTTCGAGCTTAGCTGGCTAGGTCGATGTTATTACCCTCAACAAATTTGGGGATTACAGAGACGAGGCAGGAGTTGGGGGCAGAACAGGAAGAAAGAGAGTATGTTTAGTTTCTGACATTTTAAATGTGAAGGGCCTGTGGAACATCCTGATAGCCAGTAGGTAGTTGGAGATATGGGTTGGAAATTTAAGAGGAGATATACACACACACACACACACACACGCCATCAGCATGTAGAACTGGTAATTAAGGCTATAGAAATAAGTGCAGCCTTCAAAGAGAGTATTTAGAGTGAGAAGAATGACTAGAACTGTATCTTAGAGAACCAGCGTGTTCTGTGTGGGAAGAAAATGTTGTGTGTCCATATATTCTAAAATCGTATAAACTTGTTTTCTTTTGTATTCTTTGTTCCACTTCTCTCTCTAGTAATGAAGATAATAAGAGACTTGACTATATGAATGATGTGTGGGCTTCCAGCATATTATTTTAAATAGCCTTTGTTGTTCTTAATTTTTTTTTTTTTCTTAAAACTTGTCTCTATATGTCATTTTGCTGGGTTTTTGGACTTCACTGATCTGAATGAATTGTATTTCAAGAAAACTGGGCATTTTTATCATCGCATTAAACTTCACTCTTTCAGAATGATCATGTTTACCATATTATTAGTCACTTTAACTGCTCTTCCTCTCCTTAGGAGCTGATGCAGCAGAATGGGATTGGTTATGTGTTAAATGCCAGCAATACCTGTCCAAAGCCTGACTTTATCCCTGAGTCTCATTTCCTGCGTGTGCCTGTGAATGACAGCTTTTGTGAGAAAATTTTGCCGTGGTTGGACAAATCAGTAGATTTCATTGGTAAGTAGCTCAAATAATATTACAGGTCCTGTGGGTGATCGTCTCATGTGTGGGTGGACCCCCTTAACCCCCCTTTTTTTCTTTAGAGAAAAGGAGCCTATTTCAGAGATTTCAAAAGTCTGAAAATAACACGTGCAGCTTATTCATCTAGTGGTCAAGGTGACGTGTGTGTCACACTGTCCCTAAGGACTGACCTTGTGACATTCTAGCTAACATTTAACACCACCAAGGTTAAGCTTCACAGGATCTGTAATTATATATTTGCAAGTGTTTGAAAATCAGTTAAGCTTTTAGGGTTAAATTCTTCCTCCAACTTTTTCAAATCCTATACAAGCCTTCGGGAAACTTTGTTAATATTCCCTGTTGCCTTGTTGCTATGTTTTCCACAGAGAAAAGTCAAATCTTGTGAAAACAAATCCCACTACATTTAAGTCTTTATGTCAGTGTGTCTAAGCCGGGGTCCACATGCCAGTAATTTCAGGTAGTATTTGATCTAATAGAATGTTGATACACACACATTCTCTCTCTCTCTCTCTCTCTCTCTCACTCTCACTCTCTCTCTCTCTCTCTCTCTCACTCTCTCACTCTCTCACTCTCTCACTCTCTCACTGTCTCACTCTCTCACTCTCTCACTCTCTCTCTCTCTCTCTCTCTCATTTGGTCACTTCCCTGGCAGTGGTCTTGACAGTATCTCATCTGTGCCATACTTTGTTCTGCTTCCTGGGCCTGTTCAATTCTGGAGCTTCTCTGGCCCCTGGGTACTGTTGAGGCATTTTGGTGCCACAGGATCAGATCTGTTGGGTGGTAACTTGGTGACGTGTATTTGGACAGTGGCTGAACAGAGGAGAAACACTGCTAGCTCCTCAGTAACATACCACATGTGCGACTCTTGATGTTCCATGTAAGAATTTGTTTTTTTTTTTTTTGAGACGGCGTCTCATACTGTTACCCAGGCTGGAGTGCAGTGGCGCGATCTCGGCTCACTGCAAGCTCCGCCTCCTGGGTTCACACCATTCTCCTGCCTCAGCCTCCCAAATAGCTGGGACTACAGGCGCCCGCCACCATGCCCAGCTAATTTTTTGTATTTTTAGTAGAGACAGAGTTTCACCGTGTTAGCCAGGATGGTCTTGATCTCTTGACCTTGTGATCCTCCCACCTCAGCCTCCCAAAGTGCTGGGATTACAGGCGTGAGCCACCACACCTGGCCCTATGTAAGAAATTTTTTCCTCCCCAGTTACATAAGTTTCAGCACTCTAATCCATAATTAAATACTCTGAATTGGTTACCATAATTAAAAATAAAAGAACCAGTTCCTTTAAAAAAGTGGAATTGGCCAGGCACGGTGGTGGCTCATGCCTGTAATCCCAGCACTTTGGGAGGCCGAGGCGGGTGGATCACGAGGTCAGGAGATGGAGACCATCCTGGCTAACACGGTGAAACCCCGTCTCTACTAGAAATACAAAAAAGTAGCACGGTGTGGTGGCGGGCGCCTGTAGTCCCAGCTACTCAGGAGGCTGAGGCAGGAGAATGGTGCGAACCCGGGAGGCAGAACTTGCAGTGAGCTGAGATCACGCCACTGCACTCCAGCCTAGGTGACAGAGCAAGATTCCATCTCAAAAAATAAAAAAAATAAAAATAAAGTGGAATTGGCCAGGCACAGTGGCTTATGCCTGTAATCCCAGCACTTTAGGAGGCCAAGGCAAGCAATCACTTGAACCCAGGAGTTCAAGACCAGCCTGGGCAACATAGCAAAACCCTTTCTCTACCAGTGCACCTGTGGTCCCAGCTATTCGGGAGGCTGAGGTGGGAGGATTGCTTGAACCGGGAGGTGGAGGTTACAGTGAGCCAAGATTGTGCCACTGAACTCCAGCCTGGGCAGTACAGCCAGACCCTGCTGTCTCGAAAACAAAAATTGAAAATAAGCCCCATACTATAATTTTCACCTGTGAGGGGAATATTCTGTTTAATGCTTTTGGAACTTTGAGTAATTCCAAAACACTTGTCTTTTTTCAAGATTTCCAGGTTGCTGAGGGTTTCATCTTCAGTTAGGATTCATTCTATGAAACATGAAGATAAATGACTTAGTTCACATTAAAATAATCACAAACAAATGGCCAGGTGGCTCACGCCTGTAATCCCAGCACTTTGGGAGGCCAAGGCAGGCGGATCACCTGAGGTCAGGAGTTCAAGACCAGCCTGGCCAACATATAGTGAAACCCGGTATACAAAAATTAGCTGGCCATAGTGGCACATGCCTGTAGTCCCAGCTACTTGGGAAGCCGAGGCAGAACAATTGCTTGAATCCAGGAGGCAGAGGTTGCAGTGAGCCAAGATCGTGCCACTGCACTCCAACCTGGGCAACAGAATGAGACTCTTATCTCAAAAAAAAAAAAAAAATCATAAACCCACCCCCACAAGTTAACACACACCCTCCCATTGTACTTCTAAACAACATTCAGCAAATCATTGTTTTTGCCTCTTTGAAAAATAACAATTGGGCCGGGCACGGTGGCTCAAGCCTATAATCCCAGCACTTTGGGAGGCCGAGACGGGCGGATCACGAGGTCAAGAGATCGAGACCATCCTGGTTAACACGGTGAAACCCCGTCTCTACTAAAAAAAAAAATACAAAAAACTAGCCGGGCGAGGTGGCGGGCGCCTGTAGTCCCAGCTACTCGGGAGGCTGAGGCCGGAGAATGGCGTAAACCCGGGAGGTGGAGCTTGCAGTGAGCTGAGATCCGGCCACTGCACTCCAGCCTGGGCAACAGAGCTACACTCCGCCTCAAAAAAAAAAAAAAACAAAAAAAACAAAAAACAATTGGCCAGGAGTGGTGGCTTACGCCTGTAATCCCAGCACTTTGGGAGGCCAAGATGGGGGGATCACCTGAGGTTGCTGGAGTTTGCGACAGTGTGGCCAACATGTCTCTACTAAACATATAAAAATTAGCTGGGTGTGGTGGCAGGCACCTGTAATCCTAGCTACTTGGGAGACTGAGGCAGGAGAATCTCTTGAACCTGGGAGGCGGAGGTTGCAGTGAGCTGAGACCACGCCATTGCACTCCACCCTTGGCAACAGAGTGAGACTTCGTCTCAAAAAAAAAAAAACAAAACCAGTTATGGTTAACGTTCCCATTGCATGTCACATTGATCCAGAGACACTGGCTCTAATTTCAGCTAAAAATCAGATTTCAAAATCTATCTAGAAAAGAACACGGTTTTCTTAAGTCATGACAATATGTAGGCTTTAGGAGAAAAAGTTTAAAGTTTAGTAGAAAAGAGAAGAGAAGAGAGAATATGAATAAGTTTGCTCCCAACTTATTTTCTCCTTTAATGAGAGATACTGGGGTCATCATGTCACTTTCATTCATACAAAAGAACTTTAACTGCTCTGTAACTTGGTTAAACACATGCACACAAAACACATACTATAATGTATTTGTAATATCTGCAAATACTTACCAGTATTTCATTTGCTTGGTCCTATTAGAGCCATCATCCTTATCCCACCCAAGTAATTCAAGGCAAAATCTCCAGGCCACTTTTTGAATTCAGCCCGTATTCACTATAATTGCTAGTCTTCTCCTCCATGGCGTTTTAAGCCATGGTTAGTATGATGTACCCCCTTAATGACTTACAGGCTCATAGGGATTTTTTTTTTCTTTTTGTTATTTAGATTAGATTCTGGTAAGTCTCCGGGTTTGTTGGAAGGACTCAGGTTTATGTGGAGTTTTGTCTTTCTTTTTAGTTAATGTGCTAGTAACAGAGTTTGCCCATTTGTATTATGGGATACTCCTGAGGTGCCCCCAAACCCAGCTGTGTATACAGCCTCTTGCTTCCTCTTCACTATCTCCTGGGCTCTTGCTCCAGCTCTCCCATGCCTAACTCGTGACTGCATGGACACAACATAGAGAGGTGATTAGGACCATGTATTTTGGAGGCAAACTGTCTGTATTTGAGTCCTTCCTACCCTGGTTATTAAGTGAAGTGGTTTGAGTAAGTTACTTCAAACTTCTGTGCATTTCAGTTCCTTGATCTGGAAACTGAAGATAATATACCTACCTTATAGGAATACTGCGAGGATTAAAATAGATAATGTAAAATGAAAAAAAGAAGAAAAAAGGTAAACCAAAAAGAGAAAATAAAAATAAATAAAATAGACAACGTTATGTGCATTGAACACCTTGTAAAGTACCGGACTCATAATTGGCTGTTAATAAATATTTTAAAAATTGTTACCTGAAGTTTCTCCTTTTTTCTGTCCTTTGAGCTGGACTCTGTAACCCCTCTTAGTTATGACTTCCTTCTTTTTAGGCTTTGTAACTTCCCATCCTCATTACATCTTTGCCCTTTTCATGTGCAGTTCTCTCTCCCCTTTGTTAACCTAGATTTTAGCCTTAATTTCAGTAATGGCCACCTGCCCGTTTCCAGTTTTCATCATCATTGCCTTCTTGTTCTTTATTCAGAAACCTGAAGAGGCTCCTTAGTTTTGTACATTAAAAAGGTAGCCTTGGCCGTGTGCAGCGTGTGTAATCACAGCACTTTGGGAAGTGGAGGTGGGAGGATTGCTTGAGGCCAGGAGTTTGACACCAGCCTAGTCAACATAGCAAGATCCTGTCTCTATAAAAAAATTTTTTTAATTAGCCAGGCATGGTGGTGTGCACCTGTAGTCCTAGCTGGGAGGCTGAGGCAGGAGGATCGCTTGAGCCTAGGAGTTCATAGTTACAGTGAGCTATGTTTGCACCATGGCACTCCAGCCTGGGTGAACAGAGTGAGACCCTGTCTCAGAAAAGAAATGTAGCCCTTAGCCTAACATTCCCAACACCCTCCAACACCTGCTTCCCGCCTTTGAAACCTTCTCTCTGGTTACTTCTCCAAGGCAGGATGTTTTCTGAGCACTCTGCTCAGTCCCACCACAGGGCTTTCTTGCACACATTTCCCTTCTCCTCTCTGCCAGGTCTGTGTGTATTAATTCCTTTGCTTGAAGACACAGTTTCGGGCTTATGTCTCCCAAGATGCGTGCTGATGAACCTCAACTCCAGTATAATCACTTGTTTTTTTCATTTTTAAAAGACGTCATCAAAAGAGTTGTGGTTATAAAAAAGTTGTAAGCACATAGCAGAAAATTTGAAAAACAGAGAAAAGGAAACCTATAACCTCAACGTCGTAACACATGTTACTGTCATTGTTTTATTTCCTTCCAGCCTTCTTATTTTTTATTAAAATCGCTTTAAAAATATGTATCAGCCAGTATCAGCTAGATACCTACTATGTGCCTAGTGTTAAATCTTTTGGGGGATTGTTAGAAGCAAGCAAGATCCTTCTGGGTCCTTAAAATCTAGTTTTTGAGAGTATTTAATTTAATTTTATTTATTTATTTATTCATTTATTTTTTTGAGACGGAGTCTCGCTCTGTCGCCCAGGCTAGAGTGCAGTGGCGCAATCTTGGCTCACTGCAACCTCCACCTCCTGGATTCAAGCAATTCTCCTGTCTCAGCCTCCTGAGTAGCTGGGACTACAGGTGCCCACCACCATGCCCAGCTAATTTTTGTATTTTTAATAGAGATGCGATTTCACCATATTGGTCAGGCTGGTCTTGAACTCCTGACCTTAGGTGATCCACCGACCTCAACCTCCCAAAGTGCTGGGATTAGAGGCGTGAGCCACCACGCCCGGCCGAGATAATTATTAAAATTAATGAGAGAGTACTGTCAACGTTAAAAAACAAAAACCCAGACTACTTCCAGTAAGGATTTGAAGCAGTTTTCAATAATAGGTTAGAACCAAAAGATACACATATTCTCACACATACTCATTAAAATGAGATAAAGGAGCAATAATCAAGTAATAAGGGGCTAGGAAATGTACAGTAACTGACAAAAAATCTGAATTGCTACTTCCTATTGAAATTGAGTAGAAACCTTAGCTTTGAGCTTTTTAGCAGCGGGGCAGAAGGGGAAGGAAACACTGAGAGTAACGTGGGGTAAGTGATAGCTGAGAAGGAAGGGGACGCTGGAGGCACAGGAAGGCATGAGACTGTGTACATGAGTTTCTGTGTTCTTATTTGTATAGCATACAATTCTTTGTTTGAGTGTTGCTTGGTATTCATTTGTTATTGTTTTATTGTGTTTGGTTTCCCTATCTAGAAGGAAGCTGCTTGCTGCTTGATTATTCATATACTACCCAAAACCTCTATGTTGCTTTATAGATGATGAATAATTGTTATATATAATAATCATTGCACTAGAAACTTATAAGTTTATAAGTTATGTATATTTATAACATAGGCAGTGAGATTGAATAACCTTGTATTATTTAGCTGCCAAAGCAAGATTCATTGCATATCTGTGAATCGTAAGAATTTTAACAGAAGGTTCAGTAGACGTTTGCTAGTATCTACCAAGAATGAAAAGGGAGAATTCAGCTTCATGACTGAGCACACATGTAATTATTTAGAATTAAGGTAGTCATGGAACTGGCCAAAATGTTAGTAGCTTCCAGGCTGTGTGGAATAACCTCATCCCCTGCCCCATGGACATACTGTTAAGCCCCTCAGCAGTGAGAGATGGCAGCACTGCCTGGATTTCCCTGGTTCTTTGGTTCTAACAAAGTGTCCATGAGTCCTTCCACTGTGGTGTGGGGAGTTGAGGTAATGCAATAAAGACAATACCTCCTGGGTATCAAGGAAGGGATAAAAGTTCTCTTGGATCTCATTAAAGTGAATGGCTAAACCTGATTCATAGCATATACAAGGTTTTCTTCTAAAATTTAATAAAGTTGAGCCATTTTATGACATACAGAAAAGCTGCCTGAAGAAAAATAAGGAGGCCAGGGGCATTGGCTCACGCCTGTAATCCCAGCACTTTGGGAGGCTGAGGTGGATGGATCACTTGAGGCCAGGAGTTAGAGACCAGCCTGCCCAACATGGTGAAACCCCGACTCCACTAAAAATACAAAAATTAGCCAGGCATGGTGGTGCACACCTGTAATCCCACCTACTTTGGAGGCTAAGGCAGGAGAATCACTTGAATCCGGGAGGCGGAGATTGCAGCGATCCGACATCACACCACTGCACTCCAGCCTGGGCGACAGAGCAAGACTATCTCAAAATAGTAGTAATAATATTAATAAATGTAATTATATCTCTTATGTAATCAGGGAAAAATTTGAAGTGTCACATAACAGGAATAAATTAAACATTACCCATATCTTAGGGGAAATTACTAACATAAGCTAGGAAACCCGAGTTAGTAATAGCTTATTAACAAATTGCTTATTAACAAACAGTTTTGGACCCCAGTTGTCCTGCTGGGGTCAGTGGTGAGGGAATTACCTTCCCCTATCTCCTGAAAAGAATTTTGCAAGGATAAATATGATGTACACAGAGGAGATTTGCGTAGAGATTTTCAGGTGGAAGACACTGAGTAAGTAAATGGAAACAAGATTTCACTGCTGAACAAAATGGTTAGTAGTGACCTTTCTTGCATTTGACTCATACAGAGAAAGCAAAAGCCTCCAATGGATGTGTCCTAGTGCACTGTTTAGCTGGGATCTCCCGCTCTGCCACCATCGCTATTGCCTACATCATGAAGAGGATGGACATGTCTTTAGATGAAGCTTACAGGTGAGGGCAGGAAAGTGTCTTCTGTGACTGGCTTTTCATTGGACCTGAAACATAAAGAATTATGAGGATGGGTAGCCAAAATAAAGCAGGTCATGATTATTTTAGTCACACTTTTTACAGGTTACCGTGGATTTTTTAATGATCTTGCGAAGATTGGAAAAGAATGCTGTTTTACTATTTAGCATTAATTCTGCCCTCACATGTGTCAGATTCATCCTCAGCCACTTTTTATGTTTAAGGAACAACAGATGCAGGCAGAGATCTCTATCCTGTTACATGAATTTATGGCTTTCCCTAAATGCAAAAGTATTCTTGGTGTAAATGTGCCTATGAGGGGAAGCTGTAATGGAATGCTCACTGCAGAGTCTCTGTTCTGCTTCACACTTTGGATTGCTGGGAAGAAAAAGCCTAATGCATGTACATATGAACAGATAACTGTCAGACTCCATTCTTCAGTAAAATGCCCCACATTCTACAGTCGGCCCGGTTGTGTGTGTGTGTGATTTTGACTGGGTTGCCTCCAGTCTCTGATGAATCTGATTCCCCTGCATGTCTCGTTGGGTAGAGATGGTTCATTGTTATCTGATCAGGAATCAAAAATAGAGAGACTTATGCGGAAGGCCTGATTTAACAGTTGCATTTGTTTTTCCTCAAATTGGAAAGTTTGGAAAACAGAAATGAGCTGCCCAAACACCATCCCACGTAAGTCAGGAGCCTGGAGGAGATGGGTCCTCTGGTCATCCGCATGAGCTCTCATGCCCCCGTTCAGGCCTCCCTGAAGTCCTTCTGCTCCATTTAGAAATCAGAAGAAAAGGCACCCTTATATCACGCTATGAAGTCTCATTATGAGGACCCTACATTTACACTAGTTATTCTTGAGCCAGTTATTTCTATTTTTGTGAATTTGCTTTAGGTTACTTGATTTCCATGTTTATTTTTTGTTTTTCTTGTTCCTTATTCAAATGCAGATTTTCAGTGTAGTTCTTCTCCTGCATCACCTGAAAAGTATCCATGAGGCGCAGGGGCTGCTGAAGAATTTGTCTGTTATCTCTGAGTCTTTATTTCCTCCATGAAACATGAAAGCCATCTAGTATTAGTTTTCATCCTTTGATGAATCTTTTTTAACATGGTGGTTACAAAAGTGGACCCAGATATTTGACCAGCCTGGTTTTGAATCCAGCACCATCATTTAGTAACTGTGTGATTTTGGGCAAGTCACTTAAGGACTCTGTGTAGCTAGCTATTTGATGGGGATAATGACACCCACCTGATGATAGGGTAGTTCTGGGGATTAAATGATGATTCAGTGCATAAGCATAGTGCTTAGCACACAGAGACCACTTTGTCGTGGTTATTCTGTCTTGTTGACTATAAAAAGAAGTGTTGCTTTGATACTTTGATCATCTGATACTATTTTCTTTTTGTCATTAAATTTAAAATGTGAACTGTCTTGAGAAGTGACTGGTGACTTTGAGAGGGGATGACATTGGAAATTGAAGGAGAGTGGCTGTTACACTGTACTTTTGTTGGTAGCACTGGTGTGTATGTCAGGGCTGTCCTTGGTGGTGAATAATCATCTCTTGGCCAGGCACGGTGGCTCACACCTATAGTCCCAGCACTTTGGGAGGCCAAGGTGGGAGAATCACTTGAGCCCAGGAGTTCAAGACCAGCCTGGGCAACACAGTGAGACTCTTTCTCTACAAAAGAAACTTTAAAAATTAAAATTAGCCAAGCGTGTAGTCCTGTAATTCCAGCCACTCAGGAGGCTGAGGCGGGAGGACTGCATGTGCCCGGGAATTTGAGGCTGCAGTGAGCTATGATCATGCCACTGCACTCCAGTCTGGGTGACAGAACAAGACCCTGTCTCTTAAAGACCACCACCACCAAAACCCCATATCATCTCTTATCAGCTGCACTGGGAACCCCAGGCCCTTGAAAATGAGGCAAAAACTAGAGCCTTTGGGGCCCGGCTGCCTCTTTCCGGCGTACTCCAGGGCTGTGTGCAGAGCCTTCCCAGTGCCTAGGGCCTTTGTATTCTCCACCTTGAGGCGTCTCCCTGAACTTTTAAACCAATCACCTTTCAAAGTTTTTGAGGTCTGCCTGATAATTCCCTATCTCATTTATTCACTTAATATTCATCAGATAAAGTGTAATTGTGAAATTCGGGTTTTTGTTTTTTCCTGTCTCTGTAGATTTGTGAAAGAAAAAAGACCTACTATATCTCCAAACTTCAATTTTCTGGGCCAACTCCTGGACTATGAGAAGAAGATTAAGAACCAGACTGGAGCATCAGGGCCAAAGAGCAAACTCAAGCTGCTGCACCTGGAGAAGCCAAATGAACCTGTCCCTGCTGTCTCAGAGGGTGGACAGAAAAGCGAGACGCCCCTCAGTCCACCCCGTGCCGACTCTGCTACCTCAGAGGCAGCAGGGCAAAGGCCCGTGCATCCCGCCAGCGTGCCCAGTGTGCAGCCGTCGCTGTTAGAGGACAGCCCGCTGGTACAGGCGCTCAGTGGGCTGCACCTGCCCGCAGACAGGCTGGAAGACAGCAATAAGCTCAAGCGTTCCTTCTCTCTGGACATCAAATCAGTTTCATATTCCGCCAGCATGGCAGCGTCCTTACATGGCTTCTCCTCATCAGAAGATGCTTTGGAATACTACAAACCTTCCACTACTCTGGACGGGACCAACAAACTATGCCAGTTCTCCCCTGTGCAGGAACTGTCGGAGCAGACGCCCGAAACCAGTCCTGATAAGGAGGAAGCCAGCATCCCCAAGAAGCCGCAGACCACCAGGCCTTCAGACAGCCAGAGCAAGCGACTGCACTCGGTCAGAACCAGCAGCAGTGGCACCACCCAGAGGTCCCTTTTATCTCCATTGCATCGAAGTGGGAGTGTGGAGGACAATTACCACACCAGCTTCCTTTTCGGCCTGTCCACCAGCCAGCAGCACCTCACGAAGTCTGCTGGCCTGGGCCTTAAGGGCTGGCACTCGGATATCTTGGCCCCCCAGACCTCTACCCCTTCCCTGACCAGCAGCTGGTATTTTGCCACAGAGTCCTCACACTTCTACTCTGCCTCAGCCATCTACGGAGGCAGTGCCAGTTACTCTGCCTACAGCTGCAGCCAGCTGCCCACTTGCGGGGACCAAGGCTATTCTGTGCGCAGGCGGCAGAAGCCAAGTGACAGAGCTGACTCACGGCGGAGCTGGCATGAAGAGAGCCCCTTTGAAAAGCAGTTTAAACGCAGAAGCTGCCAAATGGAATTTGGAGAGAGCATCATGTCGGAGAACAGGTCACGGGAAGAGCTGGGGAAAGTGGGCAGTCAGTCTAGCTTTTCGGGCAGCATGGAAATCATTGAGGTCTCCTGAGAAGAAAAACACTTGTGACTTCTATAGACAATTTTTTTTTCTTGTTCACAAAAAAATTCCCTGTAAATCTGAAATATATATATGTACATACATATATATTTTTGGAAAATGGAGCTATGGTGTAAAAGCAACAGGTGGATCGACCCAGTTGTTACTCTCTTAACATCTGCATTTGAGAGATCAGCTAATATTTCTCTCAACAAAAATGGAAGAGCAGATGCTAGAATCCCCCCTAGTCAGAGGAAACCATTTTATTCAGTGAATTACACATCCTCTTGTTCTTAAAAAAGCAAGTGTATTTGGTGTTGGAGGACAAAATCCCCTACCATTTTCACGCTGTGCTACTAAGAGATCTCAAATATTCGTCTTTGTCCGGTCCCTTCCATAGTACACCTTAGCACTGAGACTGAGCCAGCTTGGGGGTCAGGTAGGTAGACCCTGTTAGGGACAGAGCCTGGTGGGAAATCCAAGAGAAATGATCCTATCCAAAGCTGATTCACAAAGCCATGCTCACCTGACAGCCGAGGGACACGAGCATCACTCTGCTGGACGGACCATTAGGGGCCTTGCCAAGGTCTACCTTAGAGCAAACCCAGTACCTCAGACAGCAAAGTCGGGGCTTTGACCACTACCATGTCGGTAGCCCGTTTTCTAGGCATTGTGAATAGGTAGGTAGCTAGTCACACTTTTCAGACCAATTCAAACTGTCTATGCACAAAATTCCAGTGGGCCTGGATGGAGGTAATTTTTCTTCTTCTTCTCAGCTTTATGAAGAGAAGGGAACTGTCTAGGATTCAGCTGAACTGCCAGGAACCTGGTAATCATGATTTAAGCTAAGGTTGGGAGGCTAACAAGTCTACCTCCCTCTTTGTAAATCAAAGAATTATTTAGAATGGGATTGTCAGTCCTTTAAATATAAAGATGAACTTGGTTTCAAGCCAGATGTGAATTTATTTGGGTGGTAGCAGACCAGCAGTACCTTCAAGTTCTCAGCCAAAGTAGATGTGTTTGCCCTTTCTGCTTCACTGCATGGATACAGTTGGTAAAATGTAACAATATGGCAGAATTTTATAGGAAACTACCTAGGGAGGTAAAGTATGGGAAGATTAAGAAAGGTATAAATTGCTGAAGAGAAGCAGGAAACCTATTTCCTTAGCGGCTTTTATCTCCTCGGCATGCGATGGGGCTGGTGTTTCTGTAATTGCCTCAGACTTTCGAATTTACTAGTAGGGCTGAGAGAGACTTTAGTGAGGAAGGAATATTCAGAATAAAACTGTTGAGAAAGCTGAGAAGACCACTGAGTTTGGATCAGTCATTGTGAGTAGAGTGCAAAGCCATGGCCAAGCTGTTTCTGGAAACGCTGGCCGGCGCGTCTTCAGTGGAAAGGGCACATCAAAATGGAGCGAGAGCAAGTCCTCGACTTACAATCACGGTATGGAATCGGTCCTGGCAGCTGAACATAGGAGGTCATTGGAACAAGTACACAAGTGATAGTGCAGCTCTGCCTTCAAACAGCCTCCTGGCTTGAGTTTTATCAGCTACAATGTGGGTCCTCTTTTGAAGCCTTAATTCACGACAGCAGCTTTTTGGGGGTGGGGGTGGGGCTGGGTGGGTGTTGTCATTGTTCTTTCCCTTCCTGTAAGTGTCGCTAGTTGCTGCCTTGTATCTCAGGTTTTTCTCTGTTTGAGAAATGGACAGTTTTTTGACCAGGATGTGACTTCATGTTTCCTATGGTGACTTCTAAAACCAGCAGAGAACGATGTGACTCAACACAGACCGACTTGGTCATGGGATGATGAGCCGCACAGACATCACTAGCTGTGCACAAATAATGTACTATGATGGGGTGTAGAGTGAAGGCAGAAGAGGGTCAGCCGCGTTGTTATGATACTGGGAAAGTGCTGGTCAATGATTTGAGTTAATTATATACATTGAAATCTGTAATCAGACATTCTCATTTCACACAGTAATTTTTGATGTTATGTACACACACACCAGACGTGTAACAGTTCACCACTTCCAGAATGCGGTCATATCCAAAGCATGTTGAAGGAAAGCAGGAGCTCCTTGCTAAGGATGTTTCAGGAGGTTTGGGGGACTTGGTTTTAATGAGCTTCTGTCATTTAGGGCTTCTCTTGGCCATGGTCCCCTTCCTTCTGGAACTGTGATGTAGTCACACCCTACAGCCTTTAGTGCTGGTTCACTAGTGTCAGATAATCAGTTCTTGGAAGCGAGACTGCGAGGCAAAGGGGTGGCCTCGGAGGCAGGCTCTGGAGCTGCTTGGGTGTCTTTAGGTGGGGTGGTGGCTGGCTCTCTTCGGCATGTAATCGGGGAAACCCTGGCGTCTACTAGGGGTGATACAGATGGCGATTTTAAAGAGCAAAACTAGACTTCTATGTGAGAAATGCTGGAAAATGATTTAGGACGTGTAAAGTTAGATGGAAAGACTGTAAATGTTTAATATGAATATAGTGTTCTTTTGAAGGCCAGCTGTTGAACGGTTAAATTGTGCATTTCTCATTTTGATGTGCTATATATGTTAATGTATGAAATGATTAAATAAAATCAAAACTGGTACCTGTTTATACATAAAGATGAGAAAAGACCTATCTTTGCAGCCATAACTCGGTGGGAACACCACCACCCAAGTTGCCAAAGGAGACAGTGGTGAAACCTGTCCTGTTCTTCTCACGTAAATGAGGATTTAGCTCAAAATAAAGTGGTGGTGTCATCAGGTTTATCCTGTGTTCTATCATTCACACGGAACACCGGATCATTAGCTCAGTTCAGTGCCAGCCTTCATGCTTTACTGTGTACATGAAATGCACACTATGGCGTGGAAGCCTAAGGCACTTGGTAAATGTTTTCTAGCTGACTGATTCCAGAACACACAAGTACATGGTAGGAAGAAAAAGGCCAGCTACACACTCATGGTCCGTTTCGATATAACATGTAAACGATATTATGATTCCTACAGGAAAAACAGGAAAGGCAATTGTTGAAGAGCTGTCCTCTGTGCTTGTCACATACCTCTCAGTGACCTCTCTGTGACCTCTCTGCTCATGACACTAGATTTGATGACTTATGAGACTAGAAGCTTAGTCTCATCAGTTTCATAAAAAATAGGCATTGAAGGAATAAAGCTTCAGTGCAAGCAGATGGAATAATGACTATAGAAAGACTCAGGTGACCTTGAGGTTGGTTGACTTGAAGTTACATTTAAGAAAATTTATAAGAAGGATTGGGCTGGGTGAGCTAGACTGGAAGAGCTGCCTTGGCCGGGACCCCGCAGAAAAGAGGTGGACGTGAGATACAGGAATAAAGGCAACTAGAATCAATCCGCCTCCAGAGACGGAGGGTAGCAGGAGGAACAGTTGTTTCAGGGAGAGGCTTCCAATGAGAAGATGCAGATCTTGGGAGAGCCTGAAGTTCAGGCCAGTTACTGACAGAGCTTGGAGCCCCTTCGCGACTAGCCTCAGCATGTTATTGTTGGAGGACTGGTTTGGATGTGACAACTACAATTAGACCAGGAATTAAACTAAGAGGGGAAGCCGGGCACGGTGGCTCACGCCTGTAATCCCAGCACTTTGGGAGGCCTAGGCAGGTGGATTACCTGAGGTCAGGAGTTTAAGACCAACCTGGCCTACCTGGTGAAATCCCGTCTCTGCTAAAAATACAAAAATTAGCCGGATGTTGTGGTGGGTGCCTGTAATCCCAGCTACTTGGGAGGCTGAGGCACGAGAACTGCTCGAACCCAGGAGGCAGAGGTTATAGTAAGCCGAGATTTCGCCATTGCACTCCAGCCTGGGCAATAAGAGCGAAACTCCCATTTTAAATAAAAAACAGAGGGGAAATTAGGAAGGTGTAGATTGAGATGTGAAGAAAATACGGCAAAATTGGAGCTGAGTGTCCAAAGAGATTACGTGAAGGGTAGAGGGTGTATATGGGACTAGTTGATGGAAACTTTTTAGCTTCAAAACATTCACTGTTACTTTGTCTTAAATATTCCTCTGGTTTTGTTGTTCTGAGAAGCAGGAATGTTTTAGATCTAGTAAACAAAATTTGTCTACTTTTTTTTTTCTGTATTAGTCTTCTGCATCTATAAATGGAAGCAGGAAGTAAACTATTTCTAGCTTCTGTGGGACCCACTCATCCTTGAACAGCCTAATGATACTTGGTTATATCTTTAAAGCTGCAGAATCAACTGGAAAATCACAGCATTGTCCTGGGAGATATTTACAAGTCAGTCATATTGTTGCACTTTATTTGCAGAGACAGCAGTATGCGTTTATGTAAAAACAGTTTCATTCTTTTGGTTCCAGCTCAAACACTAGAATCAGTTTGAAAATGCTGTTCCACAGGAAATGCAGGATGTGACCTTGTAGAAGCAATGTGACAGGCAAACAGGGTCACCTGAAGAGCACTCAGTAATGGTCTGGGTTCTCTTTGGTCGGAATTATGACAACTTCAAAGACCAGATTGAAAGTACTTGGTGCAGAAAAGCTTTTAGCATAACTCACCTCAAGGAATGAGCCTTGATTGGTGAAGAAAATGGGGTCATCAGTAAATTCCATCAGATCTTACACTGACATTGATAACCCTGGAAAAATTCCGGAGGCATGGACACACACGCACCAGCATAACGCTGTTCACCCTGGCAAGCAGCTACATCTAGTTGCCAACTTTTTACACTTTCTGGTTTGAAGCATGTGGATAATTATCTGGCTACCCTTTCCCTCTGCAGCCATAGCATCTGAATGGATGACACATGCCTGGTGTGTCCAAAAAACCACAAGAAATTCAATGTTATTGATGACAGCAGTCCCTAACATTTTTGGCACCAGGGACCCATTTCATAGAAGACAATTTTTCAACAGGGAAGTAGGGGGTGGTTTCTGGGTGAAACTGTTCCATCTGAGGTCATCAGGCATTAGATTCTCATAAGGAGTGCAAAACCCAGATCCCTCACATACGCAGTTCACAATAGGTTCGCGCTCTTAGGGGAGTCTAATGCCGGGGCTGTTCTGACAGGAGGCGGAGCTCAGGCAGTGATGTGAGTGATGGGGACGGCTATAAATACACATGACGCCGGCCGGGCGCGTGGCTTGCGCCTGTAATTCCAGCACTTTGGGAGGCCGAGGCAGGAGGATCACGAGGTCAAGAGATCGAGACTATCCTGGCCAACATGGTGAAACCCTGTCTCTACTAAAAATACAAAACATTAGTCAGCGTGGTGGCGGGCGCCTGTAGTCCCAGCTACTTGGGAGGCTGAGGCAGGAGAATGGCGGGAACCCGGGAGGCGGAGCTTGCAGTGAGCCGAGACCGCGCCACTGCACTCCAGCCTGGGCCACAGAGCGAGACTCTGTCTCAAAAAAAAAATTTAGGTGGGTGTGGAGGTATGCGCCTATAGTTCCAGCTTTGTTTCCCCAGGGAAACAAAGACATGACATCTGTAGACTATCACTTGCTCTTAACTCCACAATTCATTTTATATATATATATATATATATATATATTTTTTTTTTTTTTTTTTGAGATGGCTTCTCTGTCACCCAGGCTGGAGTGCAGTGGCACGATCTTGGTTCACTGCAACCTCTGCCTCCCGGGTTCAAGCGAGTCTCCTGCCTCAGCCTCCCGAGTAGCTGGGACCACAGGCGCATGCCACCACGCCTGGCTTTTTTGTATTTTTAGTAGAGATGGGGTTTCATCATGTTAGCCAGGATGGTCTACAATCTCCTGACCTTGTGATCCGCCCACCTCGGCCTCCCAAAGTGCTGGGATTACAGGCGTGAGCCACTGCGCCTGGCCCATTTATTATAAATTTATATACACACCTAATACGAGGAGTGAAGGCCAGTTTCTAGCAATCTTCCACTTCAACCAGGGAAACCAGGAGACTGCAGATACAGGCCTATTTGACAGTGTTCATAAACAGAAATGAACAGATCGCAAGATAAGCAAAACAGGCTCTAGAAAGCGCAGCCAGTGAACGGCTAATTTATAATTAAAAGGAAGAAAAGCAGCTCTACCTTGGGAGCTCGGAATTTAAAGTCACCACCAAGACCTAGGGTCACTGCTCTGAGACAACAGGTAAACATGCTCATTGTAGTCAGGAGCTTAGTATCAGAATCGCAGACTTGGAATCTTAGAGCTGGGAGGGCCGTGAGAGCCCACCCAGACCCGCTCACACTGTAGGGAGGTGGAAACTGAGGCTCAGGGAAATGAAATGGCTTGCCAAAGATTAAGGCTAGAAACGTCCAGCCAAGGGCTTTTTCACAACTCCTATCCCTGAAATACCCCGTAACGGCCAGATAGGTCATGGGGTATTAACTAACAAAGAGATCCAGCATAACTGCTTCTTGAAATACAAATCACTCAGATTCCCAGTTTCCATCAGGAAATAGCAACACATCAGAGTTTCCGGAAAGGACTGGTAACGCATTGCTGCCAGTCAGAGGTTCCAGAGAAGAACCACTAGCAATGATGCAGAAAGAGAGGATTGTGAAAGGGGTTTGACCTAAGCAATTAGAGGAGCTGGTACAAGTCTTGGCTTGGCTGTTTCTTCCTCACCAGACCACAGGCCAGGTGGCCGGGAAGGAGGGTGGGGAAGAGCAAGTACAACCCAGACCTGCAAGCCACAAGCCGGGACCTGCACCTGTCTCTCACCAGAGCCCGCGCTGGTCTCTCCTCATCCCCAAACCTTCATCCTTGTGGCTACAGACCAAGAAGCTGGTCCTCATACCGGGCCCAGGGTTTGGAAAAGCCAAAGGCAGAGTTCTGTGGGAGCGGAAGGAGCTGTGGGCCCAGTGGCTGCCCACACCACAGATGCAGGAGATCCATGGAAACGTGCCCGAGATGGAAGAGGGCCTGACCTACATCGGCTTCCAGTGAAGACGCACGGCTATCGCTCTACTTCCACTTCCAAACCTCATGCAAATCCCTCGCGTGGCCAACCCTCACCAGAGAAACAAACAAGGGAGGGAATACTGGGAACACAGTTCCGTTTAGCCAATTTCACGACACTGCAAAAACCACAACGTGCCATCAAAATATTAAACTAACCAGAATTCTTTCCAGAAGTATTGAATTTGCTTATCGTTCTTCTGCCATACTTCTCTGCTTCCACCCAGTAATAAATAAGTAGCCTATCACTTACCTACTCAGGACCCCAATCTAAGTGAACCCCATGTTTTGTCTAACTTCTACTTTAGAAGTAGACGCAGTTGGCTGGAGAGCTGGCTGACTGCGCGGTTTGTGCAGCGCTGGGTCTGCCGTTCTGCCCTGTGCCAACCACTAACCGCTGCGGCAGTGGAAAGGCTCGGCCTTCCCAGGCTGGAGCTGCCGCCCACCCTGTGCTTTCAGGTGTCACTGTATTAAGTGCAGTGAGGATAATGGCACCTGAGCTGTTCTTGTAGCTCTGTAAACAGCCCTTCATTCTTCGAAGCTACAAACATATCCCTGTGTTCAGAACTGGGTTCTGTATACTCCAGAAGAAAGACAATGATGGTGATGTCTTAAAAATACCATTTTTTGTCAATTGAGGTGAAAGAAATAGGAATATTCATTGTATTATTCTTTCAAATTTGAAAATGGAGAATTAAAAAAAAAATTTGTTTTAATTAGCTGGATTTGGTGGCACATACCTGTAGTCCCAGCTACTCAGGAGTCTGAGGCAGGAGGATCACCGGAGCCCGTGAGTTTGAGGAGGCAGTGTGCTATGATTGCACCGCTGAGCTCCAGCCTGAGCAACAGAGCAAGACCCTGTCTCAAACCAAGATTAGAATCAGATCAAGTCTAGCTGAGATACAGTAAATTAAGTGGATCAGTTTTAATCTTGTGAATCTACTGAAGGCTCTTTCTGGCATCTGAAAACAACCTCCCGAGGCTTGCAGGAACACAGGGAACAGGGTGCTGGCCTGCATGGCGTCCTAGCCCCAGCAACTCCCTTCAGTCCTGGCTCGTAGGCTCAAGGCGTCTGCCTAGGTCTGCTCCCTGCATTCCGTTCTTGGCTTCTCCAGTCCTTCCTTCCATTAGAACACCTAGGATGTGCAAAGTACGACACTAAGCACTTTCGTTGTGACTCAAATCACTTCCTTTCCTAAACTCCCAGAGAAATTCAGCAGCTTTTTGAGTTTTTTTTTTCCAGAAACGAAGGCCTGAGGCTATTCGGCCATATCTGTATCCCTGGTGCAATATCGGGCATCAAATGGGCGCAAGAAAGGTCTGTGGAATGACAGAGCTCTGCAGTCAGCGTCCAGAGCCTTCCTGTCCCACCGTTTTCTAGGCTAGTAAAACCACATGCTGCTTAAAACCTTGTTACAGAAACTGGAATCCTGCCAGTGTTGAAAAGAAAGCTAAACTATGTCTACATCAAGGAAACCGGTTATCAGTGGAGATGAATCTGATGAGGGTGTGGAAAGGGAGGCTTCAGTTTCTGATGACGACTAAGGGACACCATAACCTGACAGTCAACAAAAAGCCAGTGTTCCACCTGGGCAGGAAGACGCGCCCCAGATAAGAGCTCGGTGTGACGGAAACTGGGTAAAAACAGGAACAACACAGAGACCTAGATTCAGTGAGTTTTTCATGTTGACATGTAAACCAGACAGCCCACTGAAAACGTCATGAGGGCACTGAGAACAAAGAGCTTCTTAAAACATTCTCCCCTTGTCTCCATATTTTCATTCCAGTACCTGGACTACAATACATACTCTCAATTGAAAAAAAAAAAACAAAAAACTAAATAAAAATAGTTCTCAATGCAGAGTTCTTCAAAGAATTCCTAATAATTCACATGTTCCAGCTTCAGTTATCACCGAGAACTGGTTTGGCTCCTCTCACATAGGGAAACTGCATCAAGGAAAAGAGTTGGGCAAAGTCAGATTTTCACGCCTGCCGGACTCCTTCGTACCCACGTCAGGGAGTACCAGAGCCTCCCGCTGGCTTCCAGCCCTGGTCAGATGATACGATGTTGGCTCCAAACCTCCTCAGGGTGTCGGTGTCTGGGGCTCCCAGCCCCAGGCAGGCCGGGCGGCAGCTACAGCCTGAGCTGGCGGTCGGGCTTCATGCTGAAGGGCTCCAGCCGCTCGCTCTCGGGCAGCAGGCTGTTGAGCCTGTCCAGCAGGGGCACGGTCTGGTCCACGCCCATCTGTATGCGGCGGAGGATGGCGGACATCTCGTTCACTTTCTGGATCTGCTCGGCGTACTTGGCGTATCTTTTCTGGCGCTCCTGCATGAAGCTGAACAGAGTTTCTACAGACAGATCCATCTGTGGACGGGAAAGAGAAGTACATTACACCTCGTTTCATCAAGTCCTCTCCGCAGGGCCAGGTGTCCAGCGTGTGAGGGACAGAGTCCCGCCGGCCAAGTGCAAGCAGACAAGTTTTACAGGAAGCACCCAGGGCTAAAAAGCCCCTCAGGGACACAGCTTTATCAACTGCTGTGCCAGATCCACCTTTAGAAGGGAACTGAGAGGGGACTGTCCCCGCCTCTGTGTTCTGGGAATGTGCGTTATTTGTACCTTGTTGAGACCCTGAGATTTCTATCTCCCTGTATGAGGGGAATCGTGGATGTGGAAATCCGTCAGGCCGGGGCTGAGTCTGGCTCTGCCACATGCATGAGCTGCTAGTACTTATCCTTTGTGTCTCAGGTTCCTCATCTAGAAAAAAACCAGGAGCAGATGGGCGTGGTGGTGTGGCGTGTACTCCCAGATACTTGGGAGGCTGAGGTGGGAGGATGGCTTGAGTCCAGGAGGTCGAAGCTGCAGTGAGCCATGATCATGCCACTGTACTCCAGCCTGGGCGACAGAGTGAGACCCTGTATCTAACAACAACAACAACAACAACAAAACCCAACCCCCAAAATGCATGTTCTTCCCTCACTCTTCCCCGAACGGCTGCAGTTTGGCAGTGACTCGGGGAACACGGCAAGGGAAGGGTGGCTGTCCCTGCCAGGGCCAAAAATGCAACCAAGGCTCCTGTTCTTACAATAGACCACACTGTTTTTTGTCAGAATGTGAGGACTATCTCATGTACCCTTTTCCCCCATTAAATAAACTGCAGGCTCTGGGCTCCCCTTGAGTGATGTCTTCTCTTCCCCTTAAGAGGCTCTTTAGTACCTATCGCCCAGATAAAAATAGGGAGAGGAGATGGCCATCATGTTCGGCACCTGCACCCCTTCCTCAGCATGGACCCCACTTCCACCCCCTCACCCCTTGTTTCCGTCCCAGGCCAGGAGAGAAACAGCTCAACTACCGAGACCCGCACTCCTATCCCGAGGTTCCCAGGCTCCTCCAGCCCTTCCTTCTGGTTTATTCCTGGAGCACTCCCCTTCCTTCTGGTTTATTCCTGGAGCACTCCCCTTCCTTCTGGTTTATTCCTGGAGCACTCCCCTTCCTCACCTTGCACCAGGACAAGCGCTCAACACCTGGTACCACAGAGCCTCGGAAAATGGCTTCGAGAGACACAAAAACAAACTAACAGGAACATGGGGGACCAAAGCCAGCCCCAAGAAAAAATAAGTTCCCTTTTGCTATCGTGTGTGGGGAGGACATGAGGGGCGGGAGGCGACCACAGCACCTCAGTGCTGCTGTCCTCTGGCAGGCCTGCCCAGCTTGCTTGAGTGCCTGCAGGGCAGGAGGAGCAGCTAGTTGGGCAGGGGGAGAAGGAGAAGAGAAAAAAAAAAGAAAAACCATCAGAGCGGGAAACCCCAAATAATGTGGGAACAATGCACACGTTCCGGGGTCCTCTGCAGCCCTGTCTGGCGTTCAGCACTTTGGAAGTAGCGAGCCAGGAGATTCCTGCAGTCCTGACAGTCACCTGCCAGGCCTTTTCAGGGTGGCCTTGCAATGAGCACCGAGAAACACTCCAAACACCTGAGAGACAGCGGGGCTCGGGGGAGCCAGGTGGGATCCTGAATTGGGAACCTTCTCGGGCATCATTTTACTTGGCGGGGCATTTCTGGCCCTCCACCCCGCCACCCTCCCAGACTAGACAGACACTTGAAGCGTTTCTATCTGAAACGGCCTCCAAGGCTCTAACTTATCAAGTGTAAAGTCCCTGGCAGTCAGTCCATCCCCCTGACTCACACCTGATGAAGACTGTTCACAGCCATCTTCATCAGGTACTTGTCAAATGGCACGTACTTCCCTACACGTTTGCACATCCAGTTGGAGCCTGGGTTTAATGTTGCCAGAGCTTTTGTAAAGGCACTTTCTGTTAATGCTGAGATAAGCACACTGAGTTCAAGCAGGTTGTTCATGCGTGCTGATATCATGTCTTACTTCCATTATGCTCCATGGAAGAAAAAAAAACAAAAGCGGAAACTTGAGTTTGCGTGATTTTGAAGATCTCACAACGACAGAACCTACACTAGACCCCAGATCTCCGAAGTCCAGCAGCTCCCCCCTTTTACACATATTTCCTGAGCAAGAGCCTGTACCACTGATGCTCTATGAGACTTCTGTTGGCACGTGGCATGGCATTACAGAAGACTGGATCAGATGGAGGGAAAGTTACTACCTTTTAAATGTTTACCCCATTCTTTGTCACAAAGAAAGTCTCAACCTGGTGCAAGCAACAATGGAATATCTGGAAAAGGATAGTAAAGCTGGAGATGCCTATTTTTGATGTCTCTGCCCTTTGCTCTTGGAGGTAACACTGTCCCTGATCCATAATCCCTACCTTTCCTCTATGAACCCCCAGACACACGCTCATCGCAACGCATCTGATGTGACCGTAGGCAGTAAACCAGTATCTCATGCAATTCTCAATCACCATTTCGACAATCTAGGGATATATCCTTATTTGCCTTTCCTACTTCTATTTTTGGCACACGGATTCTAACAAGATAGCATATATACTAACTGTCTTCTGGATAAACAGGGGTGTGATGATGTCACCTAGGGCTACCTCACTGAATACTCCACAGCCATTCAAAAGACCCAGCTTGGCCGGGCGCAGTGGCTCACGCCTGTAATCCCAGCACTTTGGGAGGCCGAGGAGGGCGGATTGCCTGAGCTCAGGCATTTGAGACCAGCCTGGGCAACACAGCGAAACCCCGTCTCTACTAAAATACAAAAAAATTAGCCAGGCGTGGCCGCGTACACCTGTAGTCCCAACTACTTGGAGGCTGAGGCAGGAGAATGGCTTGAACCCAGGAGGCAGAGGTTGCAGTGAGCCAAGATCGCGTCACTGTACTCCAGCCTTGGTGACAGAGTGAGACTCCATATCCAAAAAAAAAAAAAGATCCAGCTTCACACAGGGCAATCTAACCATCCAAGCTGGAGCTAAAGGGCAGCCACGAAGCTTGTTTCTGAAATGGATAGTTACAATTTTTGTTCGCCCCACTCATCAATCCATTCATCTACCAATAAAACAACGGTTAAGACTGCAGGTTCTGGAGTCCGACTACCTAGGTTTAAGGGCTACCCTCGATCCAGTATCTATGTGATTTTAGAAAATTACCCAGAAGGGTGATTCCATGAGAGCAAGGATTTGATGTGCTTTAAACCCTGCTATATCTCCAGTACCTAGCACATAGCAGGTCCTGAATAAATATTTGTTGAACAAATGAATCAAAATACATGTAAGCCTCGGTTTCCTCATCTGTAAGGTAGTGGGGATAACAACATTAAGAGACTGTCCTGAGGATTAAATGAGATTCTGCAAGGAGAACATTATTATCCTGCCCAGCACACAGTTGAACACTGGGTAAGTGTGAGCTATTAACATACGGGCAACAGACAGTTACTGACTAGCATCACGTGCCATGTGCCACGCACTATGCGAGGTCCTAGGATATAGATATTGAGAACCAAAACTGCTTACACCCACACAGCTCACCGTGTACATTAACATGAATTTTCTTTTCCGCTGTTTCTGTTAACATGACTTTACTATTCCAGGAAACTCAGGCCCAGAAACATATAAGTTGCAAATAACTTTGTTTCAAGAACTTAACAAAAATTAAATGAATAAACTAGCTGATTTTCGAGTAGAAAGTGAACGACTCTTTATTCTCCACACCTCCTGCCTCAAAACCCTCGCCTTGCCGTGACACATGACCAAGTTCTGGTCCACAGCGTGTGCCAGGACGTCTCTCCTGGCAGCCTCCAGGCGCCTTCCTGGGAAGTCAGCTGGCACGCACTCTTTGTCGCTTCTCTTCTCCACTGTCCCTTCCTCCGCTCTGCTGCTGCTGCTGAAATGCAGGTGCACCCCATGTAGACCATGAGAATAACAAAGGTTACATCCTGGAGTTGGCATATCACAAGCTAGAAGCAGCCTGGGTCCGTGAGGATGTCTATGGCTAAGAGCAGACCAGGCCTGAGAGAGAAGAATAAACTTTCATTTTGTAGAAGCCACCATCATTTGGGGTTTCTGTAACACTGGTTAATATAATCTGATACTGATAGATATGAATGCTGGCCAGGCGTGGTGGCTCATGCCTGCCATCTCAGCATTTTGGGAGGCTGAGGTAGGAGGACCACTTGAGCCCAGGAACTCAAGAGCAGCCATGACAACACAGTGAGTCCTCATCTCTACAAGAAAATCAAATAAAAATTAGCCAGGTGTGATGGAACACACCTGTAGTCCCACCTGCTCCAGAGGCTGAGGTGAGAAAATTGCTTGTTCTCAGGAGGTCGAGGCTGCAGTGAGTTGTGATCAGACCACTACACTCCAGCCTGGAAAAAAAGAGCAAGGCCCCATCACAGACCAAAAAAAAAAAAAAAGAAGAATGCAATAAAACCTTTGCCTTCAAGGAACTCATCATTTACTCAAACTCATACTTCAAACTTTGCCCTCCAGATTCATATATCATCTCTGGGGGCAGTCCATTTCAAAGGACAAGTGAAAAAGAAGGGGAGATGATTTGAGGATAGAACTCCAGGCCTCATGACGGTATCAGGCATCTGTAGAATATGCTCAGGGTTGTTCCAAATACCTTATACGTATGCTGTGGGCCCATTTGCCTACTTGGCTGGTCCACCCAATACATGAACTCAAAATATTAACAAATCAAATCCAGAAATACACAGAAAGGATAATACTTTATCACCAAGTAATGCTTATGTCAAGGAGACACGCTTTTTCAACATCTGAAAAATCAATCAAAGTAACTTGCCATTTCAACAGAATAGAGGTTAGAAATCTATGACTGTCTTAACAGATATAAGAAAAAGCATTCAACAAACTGAACATGCATTTATTAGGAAATTTTTTCAGCAAAGTAGGAACAGAAGGAAACTTCCTCAACCTGATAAAGGGTGTC